TCCTGACTCGGCACCCCCTCCACCCCATTCCCCATCCTCTTCCCCGTCCATCTGCCTCCCATACATCTTCCTCCCTCTTCCTCCGCTCAATCTTCCTCCTTCTTGCATCTTCCTTCCTCTTCCCTCCCTCATCCATCCTTCCCCTTCGTCACATATTTTCCCTCCCTCTGCCTTGCTGTTTCCTCCCCCCCACTGCTCTAGGTTCCTGCAGCTCTTCCATTCCCCCTCGCCTCCGGTTGCCCCCCTCGCTTTCCCCCAGGGGCAGAAGAACATGCTGTTGCTGCTGCTCATGCTGATGATGATGTTGATGATGAGGCTGCTGATGATGATGCTGATGATGATGATGATGCTGATGATGATGATGATGATGCTAATGATGATGATGATGATGATGATGATGATGATGATGATGATGATGATGATGATGATGCTGATGCTGCTGCTGATGATAAAGACGACGGCGATGTTGACGCTGTTGATGATGATGATGATGATGATGATGATGATGATGATGATGATGAAGCTGAATGTTATGATGATGCTGATGACGATGGTGGTGAGTCTGATGGTGCTGATGATGATGCTGGCGACGATAGTATCATGCTGTTAATGGTGATGATGATGATGATGATGATGATGATGATGATTATGCTGATGATGATGATGATGATGATGATGATGATGATGATGATGATGATGTTGCTGATGCTGATGCTGATGATGCCGATGCTGATGACGATGCTGATCAGGATGTTGATGATGCTGCTGATGACGATGATGCTGCTGATGATGATGCTGTTGATGATGATGATGATGATTCTGCTGGTGGTGGTGGTGGTGACGGTGGTGGTGATGAGAATGATGATGCTTATGATGATACTGATGACTATGATGATGATGATGATGATGATGATGATGATGATGATGATGATGGTGGTGGTGGTGGTGGTGGTGGTGGTGGTGGTGGTGATGATGATGATGATGATGAGTATGCTGATGATGAGATGCGGATGAGGAGGAGGGTGAAGAGGAGGACAATGAGGGGGACGAGGAATCTGACGAGGATGAGGTTTCGGATGATGACGATGACGACGCTGATGATGCTGATGATGCTGATGACGATGGCGAAGACGATGGTCATGGCGATTCCGATGATGGGAATGATGGAAAGAGCGTGTTCACCGCTGCTAGCGGAAAACCGGGGGGGTCACTGCCGGTTCGAACCCCTCCCTCCCCCCCACCCTCCGGGAAACCGCGGGGGGTCACTACCGGTTAGAACCCCTCCCCCCCCCCACCAGTTCATCATGAAAAGGGGGCGGGGTCACTACCGGTTCGAACCCCCCCCCCCCTCGAACTCGAAAACCAGGGGGGGTCACTACCGTATCGAACCCCCCCCCCTCGAAATCCGAGGGGGGGTGCGGACAGTGGTGGACAGCGGGACAGTGGTGGGGACAGTGGGACAGTGGTGGGGACGGTAGTGGTGGGGACAATGGTGAGGACAATGGTGCGAACAGTGGGGACAGTGGCACAGTGGTGGGGACGGTGGTGGTGGGGACAGTGGCGTGGGGACAGTGGGAATGTGGTGGAAACAATAGGACAGTGGAGGGTACAGTTGTGGTGGGGACAGTGGTGAAGGCGGTGGCGAGGACGGCGGTGGGACAATGGGACAGAGGTACAGTGGAGACAGTGGTGGGGACAGTGGGGACAGTGGTGGGAACAGTGGGACAGCTCAGTGGGACAGCGGAGGAGTCAGTGGGACAGTGGTGGGGACAGTGTGGATAGTCGGGCAGTGGTTGGGGCCGTGGAGAAAGTTGGGAGAGTGGAGCCGTGGTGGGAACAGTGGTGGGGACAGTGGGGACAGTGCGACAGTGGTGGTGGCACTGGTGGGGACAGTAGGGGCGGTGGTGGAACCAGTGGGGACAGTGGTGGTGAGGACAGTGGTGCTGGGAACAACAGTGGGGGATGTGGTGAGGACGGTGGTAGGGACCGGGAGTCGTTTGCTGGCGGTGAGGGGGGGGTGGGGAGGGGTTCGAACCGGTAGTGACCCCCCTTTCGGTTTTCGAGGGGGGGGGGGGTGTTCGAACCACCGGTAGTGACCCCCCCCGGTTTTTCGAGGGGGATGGGGGGGGGGGGGGGGGGGAGGGGGGGGGGTTTTGCGTGGGAGGGGGGGGGCGTCCAGCAGGGGGGGGGATTTTCGGAGGGGGGGGAACCCCGGGTTCCGGAGAAAAAGGGCGGCAATTTTCCACAGGAAAGCGGCGGTGGATCACGCTCTTTCGAATGATGATGCTGACGATGATCACGACGGTGATGCTGCTGACGACGATGGTAGTGCTGGCAATTTGATGATGCGGGTGCTCATGATGCTGGTGTTGATGAGGATGACGCGCACGATGATGGTCGGCGATGACCAGGATGACGACCATGGCGACGTCCTTACTTCAAATTGTTGATGTGCCGCTGCTGCCAATAAGGTTGGTTATGCTTATCATGATGTTGCCGATCACGATGACGATGATGCTGCGATGATGGTGATGCAGCTGATGATGATCATGCTGATGCTGGTCATGATGACGATGCTGCTGATGATAATGATGCTGACGATGATGATGATGATCATGATGGTGCTGACTATGATAGTGATGCTGATGATGATGATTGTGATGACGGTGTTGGTGGTGTCGATGACGATGACGATTATGGTGATGCAGATGTTTGTTTATAATGGTGTTGCTGATGATGCTGATGGTGACGACGACGACAACGTTGACGACGATCATGATGATGACCACGGTGATGACCCCGATGATTATGCTGATGATGATGATGATGCAATTGACGATGGCGGTGTCGATTGTGCTGCTGCTGCTGATGCGGATGATGATACAGGTTATCATGCTGGTGCCGTTAGTGATGATGCTGATGATGATGAAGATAATGAGGTTGTTGATGATGATGAGGATGCTGATGATGATGCTAAGTGTGATGCTGATGGCGATGATGATGATGATGAAGTCGCCGACGGCTACGGCGACGATGATAATGATGATGCTGATGACGAGGATGATGACGAGGATGTTGATGCTGACGATGATGATGAGATGATGGCGATGATGGTGATAACGACGCCGACGACGATGATGATTTTGATGCCGGTGATATTGACTGTTCTGATCACTCTTATCAGCATCACTCTTATCAGCGTTATTGCCATTGTTGGTAATCTTAATATCATCGGTTTTCACTACCATCATGATGCAGCTGCTGATAACGGTGATGCTTACAATGATAATGCGGATGATGCGGATGATGCTGATGATAATGGCGACGGTAATGATTGTGATGTTGATGCTGTTGATGCTGATGCTGATGATGATGTTGATGATGATGATGCTGGTGCTGATGATGATACTGATGATGAGTGGCGGTGATGCTGATGATGATGCTGTTGATGATGATGAATACGGTTATGATAACGATGATGATGCTAATGATGAGGATGATGATGCTGGTGATGATGCTGATGACGATGATGGTGATGATGATTATGATGATGATGACGATGATGATGATGATGAGAATGATGATGCATATGTCGTTGATGATGCTGTTGCTGATGATGATGACGCTGACGAGGATGATGACGATGATGCTAATTCTGATGATGGTGATGATCATGATGGTGATGATGATGATGATGCTGATGATGCTGATGATGATGGTACTGATGACGATGATGATAATGTTGATGATGCTGATGATGCTGATGATGCTGATGATGCTGCTGCTGCTGATGATGATGATGATGGTGATGGTGATGGTGATGGTGATGGTGATGATGTTGATGATGCTGATGCTGCTGATGATGATGATGATGATGATGATGATTGATGATGATGATGATGATGATGATGTGATGATGATGATGATTGCTGATGCTGATGCTGATGCTGATGCTGATGCTGATGCGCGGGGGGGGGTGCACGGGAGGAGGAGGAGGAGGAGGAGGAGGAGGAGGAGGAGGATGAGGAGGAGGAGGAGGAGGAGATGAGGAGGAGGAGGAGGAGGAGGAGGAGGAGGAGGAGGAGGAGGAGGAGTAAAGGAGGAGGACGGGGAGCAGTGGCAGCGGCCAGAAGAGGAGGAGGATGAGGAGGGAGAGGAGGAGGAGGAGGAGGAGGGGGGGAGGGGAGGAGGAGGAGGAGGAGGAGGAGGAGGAGGAGGGGGCGGTATAAGGGGGAGGGGAGGAGGAGGAGGAGGAGGAGGAGGAGGAGGAAGGAGGAGGAGGAGGTGGAGGTGAGGGGAGGAGGAGGGAATGAGGAAGGAGAAGGAGGAGGAGGAGGAGTAGGCGGAGGAGGAGGAGGAGGAGGATGAGGAGGAGGAGGAGGAGGAGGAGGAGGAGGGAGAGGAGGAGGAGGAGGAGGAGGAGGAGGAGGAGGAGGAGGAGGAGGAGGAGGCGGAGGCGGAGGCGGAGGGGAGGAGGAGAGGAGGAGGAGGAGGAGGAGGAGGAGGAGGAGGAGGAGGAGGAGGAGGCGGAGGCGGAGGCGGGAGGCGGAGGCGGAGGCGGAGGAGGAGGAGGAGGAGGAGGAGGAGGAGGAGGAGGAGGAGGTGGAGGAGGAGGAGGAGGAGGAGGGAGGAGGTGGAGGACGAGTGGAGGAGGAGGAGGAGGAGGAAGACAAGAAGGAGGAGTGGAGGAGGAGGAGGAGGAGGAGGAGGGAGAGGAGTTTTGGAGGAGAAGTTGGAGAAGGAGAAGAAGGAGGAGGAGGAGGGGGAGAGGAGGAGGGAGAGGAGGAGGGAGAGGAGGAGGAAGGGAAGAAGGAGGAAGAGGAGGAGAAGGAGGAGAAGGAGGAGGAGGATGAGCAGCAGGAGGAGCAGGAGGACGTGAGATGGTCCTGTGGCACTGAACGGCCTCTCGCGGGGCCATTCGAGAAGCATGGCAGTTATCAGCAGGAGAACATCCCCCTCTATCTCCATGTTCTTCTATCCTCCTTAATCTTGTTCGATGCCCCTCCGCCATTCTCTGGCTGCTTCTACCCTTCTCCTCCTCCTCCTCCTCCTCCTCCTCCTCCTCCTCCTCCTCCTCACTCCCCCCTCCCGCGATGGAAGCCTCCCCGGAGCTGCAGCGCATCCTCGAGCGCCAGCGCAGCCAGGCGGGGGACGACGCAGACGAGGGCGCGACTGCTGCGGCCCCTGGCCGCGGGGCCGCCTCAGAGCTGCAGGCGCCCCCGCGCCTCACGGGTCGACGCCGACGCCACATACGGCGGCGGCGGCGATGGTGAGAGCGACGGCGAGGGCGTCGTCGTCGTCTTCGTCGTCGTCATCGTCGGTCGTCGTCGCCGTCGCCGTCGCCGGTCGCCGTCGCCGTCGCCGTCCCCGTCGCCGCCGTCGTGGGGCCGCCGTCGCCGTTTCGCCGCCGTGGGGGGACCGCCGCCGCGCCCGGAGCGAGGCCGCGCTGGAGGAGGCGCGGGTGCTGCGGGAGGAATGCGAGCGGCTGCGCGGCGGCTGCGGGCCTGCCGAGGAGCGCGCCGCCGCCCCTGCCGTCGGAGGTAACCGCCGTCGCCGGGGGTCGTCGCCGCCGCCGCCGCCGCCGCTTTCGTCGTCGTCGTCGTCGTCGTCGTCGTCGTCGTCGTCGTCCGAACGTGAGTGGGTCTGAGAGTGAGTGTGCTGAATGCGAATGTGAGTATCAGAGAGTCGGAGTACGAGGTAGCCTGAGTATGAGCGAGTCTGCAGGGGGGCGAGTCTGGACCCGACTGAATCCGAGTCTGAGGTAGTCTGGGTGCTAATGAGTCTGAGTTTGTGCGATTATGTATCGAAGACGCCTGCGGTGAATCACCGCCGCCCCCTGCCTTTTTGGAAGCGCCTATGTGGCCGAACGTTGAGGCCAGGCCTGCCAAGCAATCGGACCACGTGTTCCCCGAGCCGGGTTTGGAAAGCCTTCGGGGAACACGTGGGCATCTCGAATGTCATCTTGGCCGTCTGGAGGCCATTTTGACCCTTTCGGGCCTTCTTGGAGGACGTCTTGGAGGGCTCTTTGGCCGTCTTGGAGGCCATCTTGAGCGTTTTGGAGGCCTCTTGGGCCGTCTTGGGGGCCTCTTGGGGCCGTCTTGGGCGATATTTGGGGGCACTTGGGCCGTCTCGGGCCGTCGGAAGGCCGACAACAAACACATGCCACAATCCTTCAATAATTCTAGCGAAATCAATGGTTTTGGCCTTTTCGGGCCTTCCTGAAGGCCCTGTTGGAGGCCTCTTGGGCCGTCTTGGGCCATCTTAAGGCCATCTTGGGCCGTCTTGCTGGGCTCCTGGCAAGTCTGATGCCGTCGGGAGCCGTCTTGGGGGCCTCTCTGGGCCGACTTGGGGCCCTCTTAGGGGCTATTTTGGGCGCCCTGGAGGCCATCTTGGGCGTGTTGGAGGCACGTGGGGCCGTCTTGGGGCCCTTTTGGGGCCGTCTTGGAGGCCACTTGGGCCCCGTCATGGGGCCCCTTTTGGGGGCCTCTTGGACGATCTTGGGGGCCTCTTGGGCCGTCTTGGGCCGTCGGAAAGCCGAAAACGCGCAAATTGTAACACCCTTCAAACACCCAAGGACAATCAATGATTTTGGCGTCTTCGGGCCTTCCTGGAGGTCCTCATGGAGGCCTTTTGGGCCGTCTTGGAGGCCTCTTGCGGGCCTCGTGGGCCCATCTAAGGCCGTCTTGGGTGCATCTTGGGCCGTCTTGGAGGGATCTGGGGGCCATCTTAGCCGTCCTGGAGGCCATCTTGGCCGTCTTGGAGGCATCTTGGAGGATATGGTGGGCCATCTTGGCTGTCTTGGAGGCTATCTTGGGCGGCTTCGAGGCCTCTTGGGCCGTTTTGGGGCCGTCTTGGGGCCGTTTTGAGGGGCCTCTTGGGCCGTCATTGGGGCCATCTTGAAGGCCTCTTGGGCGATCTTGCGGCGACCTTTGGGGCCTCTTGGGCCGCCTTGGGCCGTCGGAAAGCCGAACATGCGCAAATGCCATGGTTTGTGCTTGCACGTGAAGGAAGTCAAGAGGGGTTTTCATTATGTCGCCCCTTTGGCTCCGCTCCTTCTTGCATCGCATAGCTTCTCTGGTCCAGAGTCGATGGATGGGCGCCATCCCTGAGGGGCGGCCGCGCTGCTGGCCTGGGTGGTAGTGGCGCTGGAGGCCGCGGCCTACGTTGGGCCAGGGGTGAGCCCGACGCGGGCGGCCTGCCCTGACCCTCGTGCCCCGCCCGTCCTGCGTGTCCAGAGGCGGCGGCCGCCCCAGAGGCCGTGGCCTGCCCGGCTTGCGAGCCGCCTCCCTGCGCGGCTTGCCTGGTCTGCGAGCCGCCGCCGGGTGCGACCCGCCCGGCCTGCGAGGCGGCCGGCGGCGACTCCGGGCGAGAGGTCGGCTGGGAGGCTCGCTGGAGCGCTGCCCGGAGGCCTGGTGCGCTGGCTGGTGGGAGTATCCGGTCGCAGGCATGACGACGCTCGTGTGGTGGCTTCTCAGCGTCGTGGGGCGGAGGTGGTGGACTAGAGCGCTCCTAGTGGAGCCTGGGGTCTGCCGATTCGCCGGCGACGACGTCGATGACGGACGGGTGCTGCAGCACTACGTGGCAGAGGGCGGATGGGTCATCCTGTCCCCAGAGGTTGACATCTACGCGGAGGACATGAGCTGCGGCAGGTCCGAGACCGGGCCTGCCCGATCGCTCCCGCTGGCGCAGCGGGTGGGCAGGATGCGGAGGCTGTATCGCTTCGAGGAGACGCTGGGGCCTGAGGATCGGGCCAGGACGCTGACGCGGGGCCGTCAGGCGGCGCTGTATGTAGAGACGGCGTCGCCTGAGCCGAGGGAGGCCGGGGCCGTGAGCGGCCAGCGGGTCTCGTGGCAGGAGGCCTCTGGCCGGCGACTGGCCGCGGAGCAGGGTGGCCTGCTGTGCCTGAGCAGGGCCGTGGCTCGCCTGGTGGGGACGCCGCTGGAGGCTCCTGCTGGGGGTGATGCCTGGGTCGGCCGCAGTGGCGTGCCCGGCGATGAGATCGGGGCGGAGGTCGACGTGGCGAAGACTGGAGGCCTGAGCTTCGAGGACGGGCCTGAGGCGTTCGGTGTGCTGAGGTCCGCCGACGATGGCACGGGGCGACTCGGCCGTCTGGGCGCGGGGTCGGACGCTGGGCGCCTGGCCGAGGAGGAGGCTTTCAGACATGACCTAGGCAGGAGCCAGGCGCGTGCCAAGGGCCCCGAGCGCCGACGCACTGCGGCCGCGGCGCCACTCGAGGGTGAGGAGCCCGCCGGGCCCATACGCGGCACGGCTGTGCCAGGGCTGGCGCAGCCGCCCCTGGCGGAGCCGCTGGGCGAGCATCGGGACGCCCTCGCCCGCGCGCTCTGGGTCTTCTACGACGAGCAGGGCGGACGGGTCAGACGATGGCGAGACGTGGTAGGCGAGTCGAGGCAGGGGCGCCGCCCAGACGCACAGGTGGGCAGACCGCCTGGGGCTCTCCACAAGCGCGAGCACATGGTGAGGCACGGTGGCGACCCGCGCCTCGAGCCCGACCCCGCCGTATGCGTGAGGGGCCGTGGGAAGAATGACTGGGTGGTGCAGAAGCTGAGGACGATCGTGGAGGCCTGGTACCAGGGCTTATTACGTGTCCAGCTGAAGATGAGCGGCCTTATGATGGTGGGGGAGATGACTCACCGCGGAACCGCCATGCTGGAGGCCTACGGGGACCTGCCCAAGCCGAGCTGGATGAACGCGGGTATCCTCGCGGACGTGAGCTCGGAGAAGGATGTCTCGGGGACCGAGCTCAGGGGCTACATCCACCAGGGGGCGATGAAGCCGTACGAGGTGGAGCAGGCGCAGAATCTGGCAGGTACGCTACGCGGGGCGCCTGCAAGGACCGTCGGCGGAGCAGAAGGAGCTGGAGGCGACGCAGCAGGTGCGGGGCGTGGTGGCGGCCAAGGCGGCCGCGGGCGCGGCCGGGCCAGGGGCGTCGCCTCCGCGGGGCCATGACGGCCCCCGGGCCCGGGGGGGCCAGCCCCTCCCCCGGGCCCTTTTTGCCGGGGCACGACGGTGGCCGCCTGCCGCCCTCGCGTGGAGCCCGCAGCTTCCTGCCGCTCCTGCTGCTGGGCGACGCTGGCCGCCGAATTCGCGGCAGGTCTTGCAGGGTGAGGCAGTTCGGCCGTGAGAATCGAATTGCGTCGGAGGTCAACGGTATCGTCGATGCCGTTAACTGGATGTCGGGGTACGACTCGCTTCCTGGCCCTGCCAATGACATGCAGCGGGATGTACTTGCGCGCTTCGAGGGCCTCGTTCGGGGCCGGCAGCCGGACGCCAAGTTGCAGGATCCGCAGGCGGCCCTCCGGGAGCTGCTGCGGGGCCGCTCGCCATGCGACGGGCGCAGCGGCCCGACGACGGTCGCCTCCTACAGTGCAGGGCTCGTCAGCATGCCGATGGACGTGAGCGACTGCCCGCGTCTAGAGGACCTCTTGCCTGGCGAGGCCCTTACTTTCCTGCAGGAGCGCCATGAGCGCATGTTGCGAGAATCACCCTTGCCGACTGACGTCGAGCCATATTTCGACTCGGTCCTCAAGTTCAACCACAAGGAGTACCGTGGCCTGGTGCGCCGGCTGCTATCGGCTGGCATTCTGGGATGGACTCTAACACCGAAAGAGAGAATTGAGATGTTTTTTGTGTGGAAGGATGGGCGGCGCCGACTTCGCCTCATAGTCGGCGCCCGCCGTGCGAACGCCCACTTCAAGGACCCTCCTGGGGTGGAGCTTTTGAGCAGCGAGGGCCTTGCCAGAATCGAGGTGCACGTGCCAGACGCGGGCTTCTCGAACTACGAGGACCTCCGCGCCGCGCTGGAGGCGCAGCAGGTGTACATCGGCATGGCGGACGTGAAGGACTGCTTTCATCGGATGCGTATTGATTCGGCCCTCTCGCAATACTTCTGCCTGCCGCCTGTCAAGGCTGGGGCTTTCGGCGTGACCGAGGTCGAGGGGACCGAGGTGCAGACGTCGACGGCCATCTACCCTTGCTGGCAGGTGCTGCCCATGGGCTTCAGCTGGTCCCTCTACTTCGCCCAGCGGGCCAACGAGGAGGTAAGCCGCCGCAGCAGCGCGCTCCTTCGGGGGCCCAGTCTTTCATACCATGGGCCACCGCTCGTGTTCGCGCCGGGCAGAGCGTCCCAGGAGGTCAGGCACTACGTGAACGTTGACAACTTGGGGGTCTTCTCGCTTTTCTCTGAACTCGTGAGCGGCGTGATGAACCAGCTGACAGGCCAGTTCACCAAGCTGAGCCTACTGCTGCACAAAGACGAGCTGGTGCCGGACAAGGCAGTAGCGCTGGGCACGGAGATCGACGGGGGCCAGTTGCGGACTCGTGTGACCAGTGATCGGTTCTGGCGCTGCCGCCAGGCCGTGCGAGGCCTCCTAGCCCGCCGCCGTGTCAAGGGGTGGGCCGTGGAAGCAGCGCTGGGCCACCTAACGTTTTGTGGCCTCTGCTCGCGCGGCACCTTGTCAGCCTTCAATTCAGTTTACGGCTTCGTGCGAGCCCACTACGACGAGGCTGCCGTGCTATGGGCTGAGGCGCGGCAAGAGCTGGCGGCCTTCAGCTCTTTGATGTACTTCCTGGAATCAGATTGGTGGCTACCTTGGAATCCCTTGGTGCAGCAGTCAGATGCCAGTCTTCACGGCTACGGACTGGCAAGGGCCTTTTGGCCGCGGGAGCTGGTGGAGTCAGTCGGGCGCGTGCCTGGGCGAGCCCGCTTCCGCCGGCGCTGCGCGCGCAGTGCCCGCGAGGCTGCGCTCTGTGCAGCTGGTTTCAGCATGAGCGAGAGTGGAAAATGGGAGCTCAAGGGCCTTCCTGAAGATGAGGAGGAGCTGGGCCAGTGGGACATTGTGAGGGACTTCCCGGAGGTGCCCGCCCGGGGGCTCCGCGCAGGTCTGCGGGAGCCCTGCTTCGCAAAGACCTGGCAGCACCCTGAGGGCATCCTGACCTTAGAGGCCCGAGCCCTGGTCAGCAGCATACATCGTATTGCCACCACGGTGTTTGGGTCTCACATACGTCAGTTGCTGCTCTGTGACAATATGTCGGTCGTACTAAGCTTCAATCGAGGGAGGAGCTCTTGTTTCAACTTGTTGGTCCAGATTCGTCGATTTCATGCTGTCTGTCTGAGCCGAAATATTCGCTGTTCGGTTCGTTGGATACCCAGCGAGCTCAACTGTGCCGACCTCCCCTCACGGCTATTTGATCCTGACGGCGCAAAGTCCACCCTTCTGGCTGAGCTGTTGGAGCTCGAGGGCTCCCAGGCGGGCTCAGAGCGGGTTCCCGCCTGGTCCGCACCTGAGCGGGTAGCCGGTGGCGCCGCGGCCCGCGATGCTGCCTGTGCGCCCGCGGACGCCAGACGGGCGTGGCCGCTGCCTCGGCCCCCTGCAGGTCAGACAGGGCGCGAGGCCAGGGGCGGGGCGCCGGCGCACACGGCGGCTGGCGCCGTCTCGCCTGAGGCCTGGGCTGGGGACGTCTGCCCAGGGTCAGGAGGCGGGAGGCCCGCGGCAGCTTGCCCCTTTGCCGCCAGTCGCGCCGCGGCCGTCGCCGGCAGCTCGGCGGGAGCGTCAGCTGGGCGAGTCGGAGCTCCTGAAGACAGCGGTGCAGCGCCGTCTCCTGCCGCGGATTCTGGAGCAGATGGCGGAGGACCTGAAGGAGGTGCCTGTGCCAGTTGGATCCGCTCAGGGAGCGCGAGAGAGCGACGGCTCCTCCGACAGCGGGAGCTCCGAGCCCGAGGTCGAGACCGGCGCCGCGCGGCAGCGCAGGCTCGCGCAGTCGCACGGGCGCCTTGCCCGCCACTACGGGATGACCACTGGCAAGAAGGGGTCCCCTTACCTGGAGAGGGAGGCCGCGTGGATCCCGTCGCTGCGCGAGTACCAGAGGGCTGCGCACATTGGCGAGGTCTTGGAGAGCAGGGGCGATTCCATGGTGACCTCGGCGTTGGTGGGCCAGCTGAATGGACTGCACCAGACTGGGACTCACCTCTCCTGGGCCGAGAGGCTGATGGTCGGCGGCCTGCACTTCAACCCCGACATGTCGAGCTACGGTGCCCGGCGCCCCCCCCCGGGCTGGAGTTTCTGGACCCTGAGGCTCTCCCCGGAGGAGAAAGGCCCGTGGGAGAGAGCGGGCCTGGTGGGGGTGTCGCTAGAGTCAGACTCGCCCTGGATGCGCTTCTTGGGCCCTGTGCTGCGTCAGATGAAAAAGGTGATGCACCCCGAGTGCCCGTGGAACTTCACGTGCCCAGAGTACCGCAGGATGTTCAGCCTACGTCTCCAAGACCTGCCAGCAAGAGCCGAGTTGGTGCCGTATCAGGTTTGCCTTTCAAGGGCCTTGGTATGCATGGCGAGGAGGTGGAGGCGGCTGGCCGAGGTGCAGACACGCTGGCAGTGGAGAGCCAAGCGCAGCGTCATCCGCTACGAGAAGCACGCGCGCCTGGCAGCCACGTGGACAGCTCAAGGCCGCACGGTGCGAAAAGTGTTCCTGGTCTGCGGGGCTCAGCTCGCGGACATCATTTTGGATCGCGCCTCGCCGCTCGACTTGCGGGAGCTCGACCGCGTCTGACTGGCCAGTATGTGGCCGACTGCTTCAGTGGCAAAGGAGGCGTGGGTCGCGCCGCAATGGCAATGGGCGTACCAGCCAGGTTCTGGGACACGCTGCACGGGCCGGGCGGCGACCTCACCCGACGGAAGGTCCTGCGGGGCTTGTGCTCCGACATCGCCGCAGGCCGCGTCCTGGCCGTGATGCTGGCGCCGCCTTGCGGGCCCTGGACCACCGCTGCCGACCGAGTGGGAGCCATCCGCTCGGCATCGCAGCCCTGGGGACTTCCGCGACATCTTCTGAGTACGAAACAGCTGGCCCGCCTGGCATCAGGCAATAAGACCATGCGTGCCGCTCTGAGCGTCATCAGATGGTGCGAGAATTTTAAAGTCCCCTGCATACTTGAGCATCCTGTGAATTCACGCGTTTTTGTCACGAGAGAGGTTCTGGGGGTTATAGAACGGGGGGCTGTTGTAAGATGTCTCGATCAGTGTCAGGAAGGGGCTCGCTGGCGCAAACGAACAATATTTTTGTGTCTGAACATAGATGTTCAGGATAGCTGCTGCCTCGATCGTCGGTGTGGTCAGATCAACGGTATTTGTAACAAGTCTGGCCGTCCACACATCGTGCTGGAGGGCAACGCCCCGAATGGTGCGAAATGGACCGCTATCGCTGCCGCCTATCCGCCAGCCCTCAATAGGAAACTCGCTAAAGTCCTTTTGAGTGAATGGCGCGCGTCGTTATATAATCACCCTTGCCCACCCACCCAGTAAACATTCTTGGGAACGGCTTGGGTTGACGGTGCCTCACAGCTGAGCGCAAGGACGCGCAGCCGTTCGTTCATCTGTGTCCCCGCCTTGAAAAGATCTCGGGACGTCCTGGTTTGTGCTTGCACGTGAAGGAAGTCAAGAGGGGTTTTCATTATGTCGCCCCTTTGGCTCCGCTCCTTCTTGCATCGCATAGCTTCTCTGGTCCCCCGCCCCCCCGAACCCTCTCGAGCATGCGTGCACACACGTGCTCTGTCTCATTTTTCTCTCTGTGGTTGACGGTGCCTCACAGCTGAGCGCAAGGACGCGCAGCCGTTCGTTCATCTGTGTCCCCGCCTTGAAAAGATCTCGGGACGTCCAAATCCTTCCAAAACCTAAGGACAATCAATGATTTTGGCCTCTTCGGGCCTTCCTGGAGGACCTCTTGGAGGCCTCTTGGGCCATCTTGGAGGCCTCTTGGGAGCCTCTTGGGCCGTTTTGGGCCATCCTGAGGCCATCTTCGGCCGTCTTGGGTGCATCTTGGACCATCTTGGAGGCATCTTGGGGCCATCTCAGGCGTCTTGGAGGCCATCTTGGCCGTCCTGGAGGCCATCTTAGGCCATCCTGGAGCCGCCCCCTTTGCAAGCACCTTTGGAAGATCTTTCGGCATCCTTCCGGGTGGCCGGCGGGGCGGGCCGAAGCCCCAGGGGGAGTTCTTTTGGAAAAAGAACCGCCAGGCACCCTTTTGATCAATCAAAAGAGGGTGGCGGATCTATTCGCAGCCGGCCCATTCCGCCACCGCGTTTGGGTTGTGGGTATGGGGGCCTATTGTGCGTTCGCTGGGATATCGTGGGGGGCCTCTGGGGCCTCTTGGAGGCCTGTTGGGGGCCGTGTGGGGGCCTCCTCGGTATTCTTTTGGGCCTCTCGGGGGCCTCTTGGGGGCGTGTTGGGGGCCTTTCGGGGTTCCCGGGCACTTCTTGGGTCCTCCTGGAGGTTTCTTGGGGCGGAAGGTTCGGGCTTTCGATTCGTGTCCCTTCTCTTTGTCCCATGTTGGGAATGTCTTGGCGCCCTCTCGGGCTGTCTTGGGCGCCTCTTGGGCCATCTCGGGGCGCTCCCCAGCCGCCTCTGGCCCTGTTGGGCTGTTGCGGGGCGGTCTCGGGGGCCTTTCGATCCAGCTTGGAGTGTCAGGGGGCCGACGGGGCGAGTGCGCCGACAATTTTTCAATCATCTTCAGGATTCATTGAGTTTCGCTTCTTGCGGCCATCTTGGGGGGACTCTTGGGGGCCTCTTGGGGCGCGTCGGAGGCTTCTTGGGCCATGTCGAAGCCATGTTGGGCGTCTTGGGCCGATTTGCGGGCGTCTCGGGGCCATCGTGGGGCGTCTCGGGGGCCTCGCGCGGCCCGTCTCGGGGCCATCTCGGGCCCCGCAAAATGCGCGCGCCACCGCCCGGCCAAAAACGGTCGGCAAAAAACGGGGGGCGCGCGGCGCGCTGCCCCCTCCGCCGATTGTCGCACTTTGGGGTCCAGGCTCCTTAGAGACCGCAGGATTGAAGACCGAGGTTCCAGGGGGGAGGCAGAAGACCCGAGGGCGCGCCCGCTCCGCGCCCACAGGCGCTTCGGCGGATGGGCGAGGCGACGCGCGCACGAGTCGGGTAGCGGCGATGGCACCCGTTGGAGATAGCCGTTGCGCTGTGTAACGTGGAAGAACCACTCTGTACTATACGAGCATCGTGTGTGTGTGTGTGTGTGTGTGTGTGTGTGTGTGTGTGTGTGTGTGTGTGTGTGTGTGTGTGTGTGTTTGGTTGTTTCTCTATGACACAACCTGTTGTGCGCGGGCGTTTTGTGCACCCATATTGTTTGCGAGCTGAAGTGCCGTATCTCCGTGCCTGCCCGCCGCCCGCTGCTGGCCGCCGGCCCGCCGTGCTTTCGCGCCCAACGCAACGCCCGGCGCAGAACGGCATCCGGTTCCAAAGCAACGCCTGGAACTCAGCGGCCTCCGCCTCCGACGCCAAGCCTTGTATTCAACGCCATCCCGCTGCATGATAGTCCCATTGGCATCTCAATCCGCCCGCCCGCCGCCCGCCGCCCTCCCGCCCGCCGCCCGCCGTGAGCCGCCCGCCCGCCGCGCTGCCACGTTCAGCGAAGCACCTGGCGCTGAACGGCATCCGCGTCCAACGCAACGCGTTGGGCTTAGCGGCGTCCGTCGCCGACGCGACGCCCAGTTTTCAGCGTCGTCCCGCTGCAAGAGCGAACCCATGAGAGTTCGATTGAAATCCCGATCCGCCCGCCCCCCGCCCGCCGCCCGCCCGCCCGCCGCCCGCCCGCCGCCCCCCCGCCGACCGCCCGCCGCGCTTCCGTTTTCAACGCGGCAGCCAGTGCTCAACCGTTGCCGTCTCCGAGACGACGCCCAGTACTCAGCGGCCTCCGTCTCCAACCGAATTTTCATGCAGTGCTCGACAGCATCCCGCTGCAAGAGAGAACCCTTAGGAAGTCCGTTTAAATCCCGATCCGCTCGCCCTCCGCGAGCCCGCCGCCCGCCGCCGGCCGCCCGCCCTCCGCGTTCAACGCAACGTCCGATATTCAAGAGTATCGGTCTCCAACGCGTCGCCTCGCATTGAACAGCCTGCGTCGCCAACGCTGCGCTCAGTGCTCAGCGGCGCCCCGATGCAAGGGGGGGTCTTGCGGAGTTCAGTCGCAAACCCGATCCGCCCGCCCGCCGCCGGCCCGCCGCCCGCCGCCTGCCCGCCATGTTTCCGCGCTCGACGCAACGCCCAGCATTTGCGGCATCCGTCTCCAACGCAGCGCCCGGCACTCGCCGTCTCCAACGCAACATTCAGCATTCTACGGCGTCCGCTTCCAACGCAACGCCCAATGCTCATCGACCTCCGTTCCTGAAGCAACGCTGAACCTCCCCCGCCCGCATTGCGCAAATGCCCCCCTTGAGGGGGGGCCCTGGGGGGGGGGGGGGCGCGCCCCCTCCGTTCTCCAGGGGTGGTTTTGGGACAAACCGTGTGTGTGTGTGTGTGTGTGTCAGTGTGTGTGTGTGTGCGTGTGTGTGTGTGTGTGTGTGTGTGTGTGTGTGTGTGTGTGTGTGTGTGTGTGTGCGTGTATGTGTGCGTGTGCGTGTGTGTGTGTGTGTGGAGGGGGGCGCCCCAGAGGGGGTGTCGGGGAACTGCCGCGCCGGTCTCCGGGCCCAATGATCATGGGGCCCACTCCGGGCTCCCGCCGCGGATCTCCCGGCAGACGCAATGCCGGCGTGCTGCGCTTCGTTGCGCCTGGATCAGCTACCCGGGAATGTGTCGCGAGTGTGCCTTCATTCCTGATCATCCAGCTGCTTCCGCGCAGAATGGGTTCCCCCGTGCACGAGCGGGCGGTCTCGATCGCGCTGTGCGGATTTCGGCGCATGCCGCCCGTCGCTCCGAGGATGATGGTCCGCGGGAGAGGGGCCGCCGTCCTGGGGCGCCGCCGTTGGTGGCAACCTCGGGGGGTCACTGTTTGATCGTTTGGGGTCGCCGTTTGGCTCCGCGGGATCGCCGATGGCGAAACCCGACGGGGCGTCCGACTGTTGCCCATTGGGTGCATTCTGGGTGCGCAGGGGGTGGGCGCCCTCCGATGGGGTCCCCTTGGGGGCTCCTTTGGGGCATCTTGGGGGCCGCTAAGGGGCCTGCCGCCGCGTGCCTCGCGCGGGCCTATCGTGCGCGTGCGCGCCATCCCAGAGCTGCGCATGCCTGCCTGAGCAGCGCGCGAGAGCGTGCGCGCGCGTCGCCCGGCAAATTCCAGCGCGAGATCACAGCTCCAACGCTGCGGCCCCAGACCGCCATGCGCACTTCCTTTCGCGATTTGCGTCGTTGCAGTGGCGACGCTGGCGCCAGTTTTTGAGTCGCGCGCCGCGCCGCTCTGCAGTTCGAAGCTCAGGCGCGAAAGCGCGACGCCGCACCGCGCGAGCGCCGAGGAATTCCGCTCCACTTCGGGTGCCTTTCGGTCCCAGCTGTGGCGCCGTAACTTTCTCGGGCTCGCGCGCCCGCGAGCGCCCCCGCCGATGCCCGACCGCGGCGCCCCCCCGATCGGATTTTCTTGCACGCGGGCGAGGATCTGAGGCAGAGCGCGGGGGCCGCGCGTCGAACAGCGGGGCCCGGGCGTGGGCGCCGACGTCTTCTGGGCGGAAGACGCGGCCTCCAGCTGTGGCGAAGCGGCCTATTGCCGCCACGTTTTGTCGTGCCGCGCCAGGAGAGACAAGTGAATGGCCGATGCAGTTCGTTAAATGACTGTCGTGGGCTCCT